GCTCACTGACTCATTGAGTCCTTCCAGAACTCGAGAAATCATGAAAACCCTAGTTGACTCACCGAGTTTCCATACAACTCGTCGTGTCCATGCAGTGTCCAAAATTCGAGAAAACCCTAACTAACTAATCGAGTCCTCTTACTGACCCACCGAGTGCATGCAGAACCCAACAACGACCAATCTACATTTGACTCGTTGAGTTGACCATGCAACTCGTCGAGTCCCTTCAGTCCATTTTTCATTCAGACATTTTTAAGCTACCATAAAGCTCCAAATTTCAGATCTAGCCTCCTAGGGCATGGTTTCCACGTAAAGTTGCAAACTTTACGTGCATGCAAGGTCTTGAATGCCAAAGCCAAGCTAAGGGAGAGGTTTAAACCAAAGAGAAGGGCCCAAAGCTTGATAAATTCAACAATTTTATAACTGTAAGGACTTAGAGGATTCGACATCTAAAGTTACAACTTCAGATCATGCCCAATACCCGAAATGGTCCACTAATATGCTAAAAATGTCCTTAAACTGAAGAATAAGGAGATCTAACACTAGAGTGATCAAGGTAACAATTTGTTACCTTCAAATAGAAGCCAAAGCGATGTAGATGATGGATTTACAAGCTCTTTCCAATTCCAAGCTTCTCAACCTTCAAACTTCTTCAATAAATGCACCAAAAACACTCTTTTAGCCTCATAAGCACAAGGAAGTAGTAAAGAGCGGAAATGGTTTCCTACTCTGGGTACTGAGGTGATAAGGGAGGCCAAGGGAGGCGGGTTAAGTCCTTTAAATAAGGTGCAAACTTTAAAAATTAGGGTTTTCCCATTCAACTCCTACTCATCGAGTTAGGGTCCTCCAACTCGTCGATTAGACCTCATAAAATCACGCGGCCTGGTCCGCTTCTACACGACGAGTTGGGGCATCCAACTCGTCGAGTAGGTCCAATAATGTGACTAATGAGCTTTAAATTTTATTCCTGGGAGTTGGGGTGTTACAATTCTCCCCCACTTGAACTGGACTTCATCCTCGAAGTCTGTTGCAGTAAATAACTCAGGGTAATCCTCCCGCATCTTTGCCTCCGGCTCCCAAGTCCACTCGGATCCCCTCCGATGCTGCCACTGTACCTTTAATAAAGGTACTTCCTTGTTCCGTAGAACCATCACTTTCCTCTCAAGAATGGCCATTGGCCTCTTCACGTAATTTAGGTGCTCGTCGACCTATATATCGTCTAATGAATCACTTCCTCCTCATCTATATGCACTTTTGCAACTGTGAGACATGGAAAGTGTTGTGGACCTGACTAAACTCCTCCGGGAGATCCAGTCTATACGCCACCTTGCCAACCCTAGCAATGATCCTGAATGGCCCAATATATCGGGGACCCAATTTCCCCCTCTTCCAAAAGCAAATCACACCCTTCCAAGGTAAGACCTTCAATCATACCATGTCTCCCACCTGGAACTCCATCTCAGATCGACGTCTATCGGCATAACTCTTCTGCTGACTCTGAGCGGTCTGCTGCCGCTATCTGATCTGCTGAATCCTCTCGGTAGTCTACAGAACTACCTCTATCCGTCCCATCACCCTGTGACCAATCTCAACCCAACAGACTGGGGTGCGACATCTCTGTCCATACAACAGCTCATATGGTGGAGCACCAATACTGCAATGAATGTTGTTGTTGTACGAGAACTCTATAAGGGGTAGGTAGGAGTCCCAGCTCCTACCAAAGTCAATAAAGTAGGTTCTCAGCATATCCTCAAGAGTCTGTATGGTCCGCTCACTCTGTCCATCTGTCTGTGGATGGTAAGTCGTACTGAAGTGTAGCCGCGAGCCTAGTTCCTCGTGGAACTTCTACCAGAAATGGGAGGTGAACCGAACATTGCGGTCTGAGACAATAGAGACCGACACCCCATGGTGAGCAACGATCTCGTGGATATACAATTCGGTCAGCTTCTCGGCCGATGAACTTTTTCGTATCTCTAAGAAGTGGGCACTCTTAGTCAATCGATCCACGATGACCCATATAACATCATATCCCTTCTCCGTCCTCAATAGCTTGGTGATAAAATCCATCATGATTTGCTCCCATTTCCACATGGGAATCTCTAGAGCCTGCAGTTGACTGTGCGGCCTCTGATGCTCGGCCTTGATCATCCGGCAGGTTAAGCACCTCTCCACAAACCATGCAATCTCCCTCTTCATGCATGGCCACTGTTAGACGTGTCAAACCCAACAAATAAAGGGGTACGATATACTCCAAAATAATCCCACTATATTGCACTAGAAGGTAGTACAAGGCAAGCAGGGTCGATCCACAGAGACACAGGACAATTGGTCTATACCTCTTTGCACAAGGTACTATAGTCACCAATAGTAAAAAGAGAGGGGGGTTTAGAATGTAATGATTAAACAAATAATTAAAAACATAAGCAATCAATTAAGTGCGTGAATTAAGTTCAGAATTTGTGAGGACTCCAATCCCATGTATGACAATTTAGCAATGTGACTCCAAGATGACACAATATTCGTTCAATTCTATCTAAGTTGGTACTTGAAAGTGCTAATAAGCTCTAACACTTCCCATTCACCATATTAATTAACCAAAACAAGCTCTTTGATTAATCCTAACCTTATTAACCTAATCTAAACAAGCTCTTAGGATTAGATTATAAGATTGCATGAAGCTTTAAGTGAATGTTCCCAACAACACCCAATACTCCTCATAAGCTCGGGAGTGTAAAAGTGTATGAATAAGATTTACACTAAATTCATTCAATAGAGATCAATTTAATGCTTGTTACTTGTTCAATTTCACAAAACAATTACGGATTTTGTAAAAGAGATAACTTGAATGACCTAACCCTAATTCAAATGGCCAATAAGAATCATAATTAGAATCAAACATTCGATTGAAGCAAAATCAAATTCATTAAATAGAAATTAAGAACAAATATCATGTCATATGAATGAAGTCACTACCAAGAAGTCAAAACATGAAATTGGAGAAATTAGGGTTCTAGCCACACATGGCTAGAACAAGATCACAAGTCTAAAAGATGAAATTAAGTGTAATTACAACTTACAAAAACAAGAATTAATGTTTCCAAATGGTTAACGGACAATCCTTTGCAAAAAGCTTCGAATTTCCTCCTCCAATGGTGCTCTGGTATGTTCTTGTTATGTCCAAATAACCCTCAACCCGTAATATGAAAGATAGGAAAAACTGCCAAAAGTTGGTTTTTTTGGGTCGAACACGGCCCGTGTTAAAATAGGCTAAACTGACACGGGTCGTGTTCCGTAACACGCCCCGTGTTGATTTACACTAAACTGACATGGGTCGTGTTCAGCATGGTCAACAGCTCCCATTTTGGTCAAACACGCCCCGTGCCCACTTTTCAGTGTAAATTCAACACGCCCCGTGTACCTCTCTGACTCCAATTCCAAACTTGATTTTTCCAACTTTTTAGTTCTTCGCCGGATCGTCCCGAAATCTTCACCAATGCTTCCCGACAATTCCCAAAGCGCGTTCCAACCTCCGGTTTACCTGAAAAAGATATAAAAGTGTGCAAATAAGGTTGTTCTAGAGACTAAAATGAATATGATAAAATGCAAGGAAAAGGAAGAACAATTGTGCTAAATATATGCATAAAATAGGACTAAAAGGTGTGCAAAAAGGTGCACAAATAGCACCTAACAAATTTCCCCAAGCTTAGACCTTTCTTGTCCTCAAGAAAGAACAAGAACTGGACAACATGACGATTTCTAGATGGCAAAAAGAAAAAGTTAGAACGAAAAGGGGATGAAGGATCCTAAAGGTTAAGAATGAATGCATGCAATGCAATGCCATGAAAATATGTTCAAAATGCACCTGAGAAACAAAATGAAGCAAAAGAAAAGAAAATTAAGAACAAACACAAAATATGTACTTTTGTAACTAAATAAAGGTACGATCAGACTTTACATCAATAGGGCTTCGATCATTGATACCTTGGCAACCATCCTGTTTCCTTCCACATATCACAGACTCTCAATGTGAGGAAGACCCGAAACGGTGTAACCCAATAATCCAACCAAAGTTTTATTTAATCTTTATACCTTACTAAGCTTTATGGGCGAAAATAACATAGTCCGGATTTCATGTCCTTAAGACTAAATGGCCAAGAATCAGAATCGACGCCTCCTTAAGAACCTGTCACGGCGAATCAGCTTTCGCTGAAACAGTGAGCCCACCCGAAGGGGCTCAGCTCCTATGCTTTAACTTTTTCGAGAGCCACAAGTATCATATCACACAGTTCTTCATTCGCCATGTTTGACTTGAGTTGGCTTTTGATTTGATTGAGCTTTGATTTGTACTTCGTTTTGAATTTGGATTCTTCAATCTTCATCTTTGGAATTTCTTTGGAATTTCTTTAGATTTCTTCGTTTTGGTATTTGAAATTCTGATTAGGGTACTGGATATGACCGTTGTACCCTTCCTTCATTCTTGACTGTGTGGGTCTGATACATAAGCTCTCTGTTACTGCGGGGGTAACGCGTGTCAACAAATAGGTCCGTGTTCTGTGGGTTCAGAGTTGCCGATAAAGATTCTTTTTAAACATTCAAAAGCAAATCATCCTAAAGCTGTTATTACCGCCCAAAAAACGTTTCAATATAATTTTTTTTATTATTTGAGGGTAGGGTCTCGAATTACGATATTTGGGTCCCCTAGTTATGACAGCTGATTCTATGCTTCCGGTAACAATCCGGTTGCTTCGGTATTTTTCATTTCATGGAGCAATTGTATGTAAAGAGTGTCATCATCTCGTACACTTTCTTTTTTAATCAAATTTGAAAATAAGAAAATTTGAAAATAAGAAAATGCATGTATGAGAATGAGTGAACCTAAAATACAAGTCTACCCCTCCCCAAGCTTAAAGATAAGCATCGTCCCCGATGCTTGGAGAGGGTGGAACAACCTAAAACGGAGGTGGAGGAGGAGGATAGTAGCTGGGGTTTCGGGTCCAAGCCTAGAAGTCCTCCTCATGTTTGCGTTGACGCTCTTGATCCCGAGCGTACTGGGTGGTGAAGGTGGAAAAATTATGGGTTAGGCTGGTAATATCCTGCTGATAGGTGTCGAGGCGGGTATGGATTGATTGGAATTCGTCCATATATTGTTGATGATAAGGCGGGGGTGCAGCAAAATGGGATGAGCTGCCACCACCGGTGGGAGAAGCATGGTGAGGCTCCTCCTCTTCTTCATCATCATCACCTTCTTCCTCGTTTTCTTCGCTTTGCTCATCGACCTCGGTGGAATAAGAGTGGGGGAAGATGTATGGAATGATTTGCCAATCAGTCATATGAATGGGATTTCGGAAATCAAGAATGCCTTTATTTTCTGGTGTGATGAGGAGCTTGGGATCATGATTTTGACCCACGGTCCAGTGGTGTGTACCATCGCCTGCCGAGCGGAAGAGTCGCATGGACTCAAGGACAGTGGTGGTGAGATAAGGCTCACCCGGCAGTGGCTGGTGGGGACCGGGGTATGGGGCTCGGATGTGGGCGCTCTTGGCGAGCATGCTGACAATACCCCCGCAAACAATCTTTCCTGATCGGGATGCGCTAAGGCGGATGAGCTTGTGGCACAGAAACCGACCATAATGAGGAATGAGGTTATTCTCGGGATGGGTCATTGCATAACCGGATTTTAAGTTCCAGCGCGCTAATGGTGCTTCGCTCCTCTCTAGGGGCGACGAGCGAAGTAATGATTCTGTGAGCTACCTTAATCACAGGATGGATAAGTGATGAGGCTTTAGCAGCGCTAGAGACATATGGATGTAATTGGGTGAGCTAGGTCCACCAAGTCATGTCATAGTATCCTTGGATTGGATCAGTGGGGCCAAATGTGTTTTCCGTTGGGGCCCCCACAATGGCATTGATTTGATCCAAGGAGATCTCATAGTCTTGATTCATTAGACGGAAGTAGAGGATCCCATGATCTAAATAAACTGAGGATAGAAACTCAGCAGTTGGGACTTTATAGCTCAATTCATGGACCCTCAACAAGCCGTGCCACCCTATGTTGCGAAACAGGGTTTTGACTTGATTGTAAACATGAAACTCTTTCAAAGTTGGAACATGCGCGAATTTTTGGATGGCATGACCTCGTTTAAGGAATGACTCAAGTTTGCCCTGTTGAACTGGGCCAAGACATACGACACCAAAATGAGATGGGTCGGCTGGGGGTGTTAGGGACCTAGATGGAGGTGAGGGAGATCTGGATGGAGGTGATGGAGATCTAGGCTTCCGACGGCGGGCGGATGATTTGGTTTGTCTTGGTCTTTTGGAAGATGTAGCTTCCATAGTCAAGTTTGGGACAGATTAAAAGTCAACGGGTCAAAATGTCAAAAAGTCAACTGTTGACGGGTCCAGTCAACTTTGAACTTGGCCACCAAAATTTCGCGCGAAATTTGGTTTTCAACGATTTCCAACTAAGAATCAAGTCAAAATAGACCACACTTTCAAGTATTTGACTCAAGAACACAAAATTCAAAGGTTAGGAGTTGGAAAGAATTTACCGAATCGTGTGTTGGATCGTGTTGTTCTTGATGGAAAAGATTTTCTTTAACCTCCCCAAGCTTGCCCCTTTCAAGATTGAGACACTAAAACACCAAAATCAAGTGAGAATTTTCGGATCTAGGGTTTGTCAAAACCCCCAAATCCACCATTAAAATGCAAGAAAATGGTGTTTAAGATGGAGAAGATGAAGTGTAGATGATGAAAATCAAACCTTTTTATAGATGAAAGTCAAAATCTTGAAGAAATTGAAAGGTATTTGATGAAAATCGGACCTAAGGTTTTTGTTGGGAGAGAGGGGCTGTTAGGAAGTGAAAGTGGGGATAAATGAGGTCAAGTCCCGATTTTTTTCTTTAAAAAGGGCCTGAACTGCTACGCGAACACGACCCGTGTCTCCCCAGGCAAAATTGACACACCCCGTGTTGGGGGGTTTATGCTGAGATGTAGTCGAACACGACCCGTGTTGCTCTCTGGAAGATTTTGGGACTTTTTTTTCATTAACACGATCCGTGTTCCATTAAGGCTAAAATGGGACACGACCCGTGTTGCTCTCTGGAAGATTTTGGGACTTTTTTTCATTAACACGACCCGTGTTCCATTAAGGCTAAAATGGGACACGACCCGTGTTGGTCCCTAGATGCTAATCCCCACTTTTTGAATTTGAAAATTTCCCTCTCTCGGAAATGAAGTACTTTTCCACCCCAAGGTCCGTTCTTTTGGTTTGAAAACAATGACAAAACACATTTGGAACACTAAAAAAAATAAGAATGCAAAGAATGAAATGTTTTAGCGAAAAATGACGAAAATACCCCCGGGTTGCCTCCCGGTTAGCTGCCCTTGTTTTAGGTCGTTGGCTCGACTTTGTCCCCCAGGCGTGATTCATTCTTGGTATGTGGGGTTCTCCAACTCTTCTACCTCTTCATTCTTCACCTCAAATCCATCATAAAACGGCTTCAACCTGTGACCATTGACTTTGAATGTTTTACCCGTTTGCTTGCTCGTGACTTCCACTGCACCATGGTCAAACACCCTTGTGACTACGAAAGGACCGACCCATCTTGATCTTAACTTTCCTGAAATTAGCTTGAATCTCGAGTGATAAAGCAACACCTTTTGTCCTTGTATAAAGGTCTTTCGGGAGATTGCTCTGTCATGATATGCTTTTGTTTTCTCCTTATAGATCATGCTACTTTCGTATGCATCATTCCGAATCTCTTCTAGCTCTTGGATATCCAGTTTCCTTTTATTTCCCACCTCATCTTCAGTCAGGTTGAATTTCTTTACCGCCCAAAAAGCTTTATGCTCAAGCTCAACTGGGAGATGACATGCTTTACCAAACACAAGCCGATATGGGGACATACCAATGGGAGTTTTAAAAGCAGTACGGTATGCCCATAAGGCATCATCTAGCCTTAAGCTCCAGTCTTTGCGGTTTGGGTTGACTGTTTTCTCCAAGATACTTTTGATTTGTCTGTTGGAGACTTCTGCTTGTCCATTGGTTTGGGGATGGTAAGCCGTTGAGACTTTGTGTGTCACTCCATATCTCTTCAAAACAAACTTCTAGCATCCGATTGCAAAAATGGGTCCCGCGGTCACTTATGAGCGCCTTTGGTGTGCCAAACCGTGAGAAAATCTGTACCTTAAGGAAATCAACCACAACTTTTGAATCATTAGTACGGGTGGCCTTAGCCTCCACCCATTTGGACACATAGTCCACTGCTAAAAAAAATATAAGAGCAACCAAAAGATGATGGAAATGGTCCCATAAAGTCAATGCCCCATACATCAAAAATTTCACATACTAGAATAGGGGTAAGGGGCATTTGATTTCTAGAGCTTAAGGACCCGGATTTTTGGCATCTTTCACAATGTGCACAAAGTACATAGGAATCATGGAAAATAGAAGGCCAAAAGAATCCGCTATCTAAAACTTTCCTAGCTGTCCTTTGGGGTCCAAAGTGACCACCACAAGCATAGGAATGACAAAAATTAAGGATAGATTGTACCTCTTTTTGCTCAACACACCTGCGAATTACTTGGTCCGCACAGTACTTCCAAAGGTAAGGTTCATCCCATATGTATCGTTTGGCTTCTTTTTTGATTTTGTCTCTTTGCCAACGGGATGAATCTGGGGGAAATTGACTTGTGACCAAGTAGTTGACGATATCTGCATACCATGGTGCCTCTTTGGCTGCAAATAGATTCTCATCCGGAAATGTGTCACAGATGGGTTTACCATCTTCGGGTGATACGATGCGACTTAGATGATCCGCAACCAGATTTTCCTTTCCACTCTTGTCTTTGATCTCAATATCGAACTCTTGCAAAAGCAGCATCCACCGTATTAACCTCGCTTTGAGTCTTTCTTTGTAAGCAAGTGCTTTATGGCTGCATGGTCCGAATATATGATCACTTTAGTTCCAAGGAGGTATTGTCGAAACTTCTCCAAAGCAAAGACAATAGCAAGCAACTCTTTCTCTGTTGTGGTGTAGTTGCCTTGTGCCCTATCAAGGGTCTTTGATGCATAGTAGATGACATGATGTGCTCGGTCAACCTTTTGTCCCAAAACTGCCCCAACCGCGGTATTGCTAGCATCGCACATGATTTCGAATGGAAGATCCCAATTTGGCGGTTGAATAATGGGGGCGGATGTCAACAAATCTTTCAAAAGGTCAAATGCCTTTTTGCATTCATCACCAAACTCAAAATCAGCCTCCTTTTGTAGAAGTTGACACATCGGTACCGTAATCTTGGAAAAATCCTTTATAAACCGCCGATAAAAACCTGCATGGCCAAGAAAAGAACGTACTTCCCGAACATTTGTCGGGTATGGTAAGCTCTTAATAATATCTGTTTTGGCCTTGTCAACTTCTAAACCTTTCTGGGACACCACATGTCCAAGTATCAAGCCCTTGTCGACCATAAAATGGCATTTTTCATAATTAAGGACTAAGTTTGTATCAATGCACCTTTGTAAGATTTTGGTGAGATTTTGCAAACATTCATTAAAAGAGTTTCCATAAACAGTAAAATCGTCCATGAAAACCTCTATGATATTTTCGACATATTCTGAAAATATGCTCACCATACATCTTTGGAAGGTTGCGGGTGCATTGCACAAACCAAAGGGCATGCGTCTATACGCAAAGGTGCCGAAGGGACATGTGAATGTGGTTTTCTCTTGGTCTTCTTGGGGCAACCGGAATTTGATGAAAACCAGAGAAACCATCAAGGCAGCAGTAATGGGATTTCCCGGCCAAATCGTTCTAACATCTGATCAACGAATGGCAAAGCGAAGTGGTCTTTGCGGGTGGAAGCATTCAGCTTTCTATAATCGATACAAACTCTCCACCCGTTTTGCACACGGGTGGGTACCAATTCCCCTTCGGAGTTTTTGACAACGGTAACTCCAGCTTTTTTCGGGACTACTTGCACAGGACTCACCCACTTACTATCAGAAATAGGATAGATTACACCTGCATCCAAGAGCTTCATGATCTCCTTTTTGACCACCTCCATCATAGGTGGATTCAACCTCCTCTGTGCTTCACGGGTTGGCTTGAAGTCCTCTTCCATCAGTATTTTGTGCATGCATAATGATGGGCTCAACCCTTTTATATCCGCAATAGTCCAACCAATACCTCCTTGTATTTCTTCAAAATTCCAACTAACTCTTTTTCTTCTTCTCGTGCCAGCTTAGTCGAAATTATCACCGGTAGTGTCTCTTCCTCTCCAAGATAGACATACTTGAGATGGTCGGGAAGAGCCTTCAACTCAAGAGTCGGCGGCTGTACTATGGATGGGAGAAGTTTCGGATTAGAACTTTTTAGCTTCATGCGGGGTGGTTCAACTCTCATGGGTTGTGCTTTCTCCAAGGAATCAATTACTTCGATCAATTCGTCTTCCAATGTGTACTTGTCAGCCAACTCTTTAATCCCTGTCTCATCAAAGTGTTTGCTCAAGATGGTGGTTAGCACATCTTGGCTTGACATCTCAAAGCAATCATTAGTACATGAATCAATAACATCTATGAAGTTTAAAGAATGAATATCGCTAGGATAACGCATAGCTTCAAAAATATTAAAGTTAATTACCTCACCATCGAATTCCATTGACAAAGTACCATTGGCTACATCTATTTTTTTTTTGCGGTACTCATAAAGGGTCTCCCCAAAAGGATGGAGCTCGATTGTGGGGTGTTTTCATCACCCATGTCTAAAACATAAAAATCAGCGGGAAAAACGAGCTCATTAACTTGCACTAACACGTCCTCCAATACACCTTTCGGATGTACCAAAGACCGATCAGCAAGTTGAATGATAACTCCGGTTTTTGATAAAGGTCCAATTCCCATTGTCTTATAACTTGAATAAGGTAAAACATTAATTGATGCTCCAAGATCAAGCATGGCACGTGGTACAAAAAGGTTACCCATTTTGCAAGGAACCGTGAAAACACCCGGATCCTTGCATTTTTTTGGTAGCCGCTTTTGTAACACGGCTGAGACATTTTCACCAACCTTCACGGTTTGATTTCCTTTAAGCTTTTTCTTAGATGTGCAAAGTTCCTTAAGGAACTTAGCATATCTAGGAATCTGTGTAATGGCATCTAGAAGAGGGATATTGATTTCAACCTTTCGAAACATGGCCATGATTTCGTCATCTTCCCTTTCTCTTTTGGTGCTTGCCAGCCTTGAAGGAAATGGAGCTGGTGTGACTTTCACTTCAGATTCTATTAGCTTCTTGGACTTTGGATTACTCTTCTTTTCCTCTTCTTTGATAGCTTCT